TTCTTCTGTTAATATACTTGCTTTTGTATTACATACAAATCCACACACAGCGTCGGAAACGTCGGAAGTCGGATAAATTTTGGTATGGCAGGCGTCCACTCTTTCACATTCACTCTGAACACCAGTGCGCATCGCCTTATATCTCTAAAACCATCACTCCTGAGTCGAAATTTAGCATCCGCCAAACGGCATGACCTAGGATGTAAAAAACAGCCAAAAAAAACGGGACACTTTGGGATCGTCCATTTAAACAGAAATCAATACTTTAGTCCATAGTTTTTTTGAAGATCTTTTCGGAAGCGAACAGTCAGCCATAAAAAAAAGTCGATGTGCGCGAATGAGCGTTATGCTCTTAGCTAAGCTAAGAGAATTACAAAGTTTTTGGGCTTTCTTTTGCCATCCCTGCAAAGCGTTGATAGCATTTATTCCGACACCAACATTTCCGTTGTAATTACTGGTGCGCGCTGCAGTGGCGACAACGACTCGATCGACTAATACGCACTCACGCCGACTATTCGTTCCGTGGTCTCAACCCAGATATTTTCACATCGCATCAGCGAACCTTCTAAGTTTGTTGAATACAACTTTATGCTGGCGATAGTACCCTTCTCAGTGCCAATTTGTATCTGGAGGCTATCGAGTGCCTATAGGAACACCCACCGGGTACCGGATGGATCGGCTATATGCAGTCCACTCAGTGCCTCTAACAAAGTCATTATATTTTGAACCCGACGTTTTCGAGTTCAAACTAGCATTTTAGTATTAATATGCCTTCGAGCTATCGAGCTATCGAGCTATCGAACCTCTGATGTTTCTCTAAACTTTATTTTAAAGAACTGAGTTTAATTTTTCGCTACATGTTCACCGCCCAGAAGGTCATTGTCAGTCATGGCCAGCAAGACGTTGACCGTCGGAGCTGTGAACGCTAGAGAAAACGTACGAACAAATTCTTCTCGTAGTTCTCTTCCAGATGGATTCCGAAGCCCACAGGCAGTTGCCGACGCTGTTGCAGCCGCTCTAGCGGCCGAGAACGATGCTAGAAGCGATGCTAATCGGCGCAAAGGCCAAACGCCAGCTGATCCCAACCAACCACCAAAGCTAGAGCGCAGCCACTTGGAAGGAGACGTTATCACCAACCAGATCGACGCAGTGCAACAGTTGATGTACCCGAAAAACACCCCGGACTGGCAGTTGATCAAACCGGAACACTTCGAAAGAGGTCCAACCCCGAAAGGCTGGAAAGCTGGACTCGAGAATCTACAGGAGCGCATTGGCGTCAAATTCCAGGATGTGACACTACTGAAGAGTGCGCTGACTCATCATGGATGCTTGCCTCTCAATCCGGTACCAGAAGACGTTCCGTGTGGTGCGACTGTCGAACCGCAGTCTGGAATTTCTAGGAGACTCGTTGCTGGGTGCTGCAGTGGCGGGATACGTGTATCAGATGCTGCCACGACACCAAGAAGGCCAGCTATCACGTGCTAAGTCGGCGCTGGTGAATAACGACACACTTTCGAAGATCAGTGCGGATTTGAGCATTACAGATCTACTGCTTTGGCCGCCGGGATTCAGTGAGGCTAGTGGTGCACCGCTTGTTGTCAAAGGACGAACTACCATTGCTGCAGGCGCCGTGGAATCACTAATTGCAGCGATTTATCTCGATCAGGCACTAGAAGATGCGGTTGGTTGAGGTTGGATGTTTTAATGACGACTTTATTGCAGGGTATGGAGACAGCGATGAACTTTGTGGCTACCCACATCTTTCCTCGCTCGGTTGAGTATGCCACTCGCGCACTCGCGACGTCATTTGGGAGCCTATTGTCGAGTTGCAAAACATGTTGCAGGGACACTACTACGGCCAACCAGTCTACAAGTATGTATACTTGAGACGAGTGGGGTGAAATATGATACTGACCTCCAGTGCGTTTGTTCAGGTATCTCCCGGCCCCGGTAAACGCTTCTGAGTACACCGTCGAGCTCTACGTAAAAGGAAGGGTACGGAATTACTCACACAAAGAGGTCGATATGTGCTCTCCCACGCATGATAATGACGTCCTCTTTCTCATTTGTGTAGCCGATTTTGAAGGCAAGCGCGCCATCGTACAAGC